GCAGAGGAAGACTAAAGGTAAGTACTAGGCAATGGGTATTCGGGAGTGGGATACACACTTGCGTGTGTGTGTGTGTGTGTGTGTGTGTGTGTGTGTGTATTTTCGGGAAAAGTTCTTGACTTGTTTTTCCAAATGTGAAAGGGTTTTTTTTTTCTCGGACAGAAATGGTTTCCAGTCAGTAATTTTGATTGAGGATATGTAGTGAAATACTAGCATCACATTTGGAAGGGAAACTGATACACCAAGCTATTTGCAAAGCATTTAGGAGGTCTAGGTGTTGTCTGCCCATAGATTCGCAATTTAAATAGAATCTTTATTTATTGCTATTTTGTAGCATTCTTACACTACTGAATTGATGTTTGTTTTCTATGATTTGTTTTCCGTCGATCTTGTTTTCCGTGCTTAGCACCAATGCTACCGACGCCAAGGAGGCAGCTCCCACACCTGGACCCTACCTATCGACCCATCAACTCATGAACCGGGGACCAACGGCTTTACTTCCCTGAACCTTTCCTCCGTGATCAGAGATGTTATAGCCGGTGCCGGTGGTGTAGTGGTAAGCGTGACTGCTTTCTAACACCCCAATGGGTCTGGGTTCAATCCCAGCCGAGGTCGGTGGGATTTTTCTGAGGCATAAAAATCTCTGGTCACGTCTTCCTTCGGAAGGGAAGTAAAGCCGTTGGTCCCGGCCCATGTGTGTTGTGAATGGGTGCGATATCCTACGCAGGTGTGGAAGCTGCCTTCCTGCTCATTCGATTGCCGTCAATGGATGGCAATCGATGTCCGTCGGTGATTGGCACTAGATTGCGGAACAGAGACCGACGTTAAATAAAGGAGATGATATGCCTCAGAACATCCCGGCGGCGCCGACTGGGATTGAACCCAAGCCTGCTGCTGGGGTGAGAGGTAATCACACTTACCACTACACCACCGGGGCCACTACTGAATTGATTTGAACAGATCAGAGATGCCAGATGTACAGACATGTCTGTGAATTTACAGGCTTTTATTTTTTCGCAGACATTCTTTTCGTCACAGACATTTACATACTATTTGGTTTTTCACAGATATTTACATGACTTTTGTAATCAAGGGAAAATTTTAAAATTTAGTTGGTTACACCAAGGGGTAAGTCATTCAGCACATTGTGCCGAAATTAGATTCGGCACAGCTTAGATACATCCATCGTCACACCTTCGGTACAATCGCATAGGCATTGGATTGTTGTAAATAAAATGGGAGCACTGCTGGACAACTTTCATTGAAGTTGTTCACAACATTACGTGCTGTTTGACTATATTCAAGAAAATCCTCTAATATACCAGATGAACTCAGACCAGCAGTTCACTTATAGATCATAATACGAAATGCAGGTTCAAGAGTGAGCTCAAGAGAAAATTCTAATGTGATTTGAGGTGGCACATGATGAATTTTTGATAAATAAATCTTTTGCGAATTCGTCAGTGGAATCTGGAATTAACATCTTCGGAACCATAGTTCCGATCGGGGAAAAAACCAATAGCGATTTATGAGGATCTGAAACACATCTTCTGGAAGTACTTACCTTACCAATCAGGCTAAGGCCTTGTTGGGCTCTTCTGTCCGAAGAAGTCGTCTCCACTCTACTCGATCCATGGCCACAGTTCGCCAGCCTCGTAGTCTGCGAAGGGTCCGCAGGTCGCCTTCTACTTGGTCGATCCACCTTGCCCGCTGCGTGCCTCTTCTTCTTGTTCCTGATAGGTCGCTTTCTAGAACCATTTTCAATGGGTCGTCGTGCGGCATTCTTACGACGTGCCTAGCCCACCGTAGTCGCCCAATTTTTGCAATGTGGACGATGGATGGTTCTCCCAGCAGCTGGTGCAATTTGAGGTTCATTCGCCTCCTCCACGTTCCGTCATCCATCTGCACTCCACCGTAGATGGTACGCAACACCTTCCGTTCGAAAACACCAATCCGATCCCTGCCATAATGCGTCTTTGAATTTCTCTGCTGGTATCATTTTCGGCGATCACCAGTGAGCCCAAATACACAAACTTATCGACCACCTTGATTTCGTCACCGTCAATCTGAACTCGGGGAGGGAGGCTAACATTGTCTTGTGAAGCGTTGATGGTAAGTCCAATCCGCCTAGCTTCAGCCTTCAGTCTGATGTACGTTTCCGCCATCGTCTCAAAGTTCCGTGCCATGATGTCGATGTCATCGGCGAAGCCAAGAAGCTGGACGGACTTCCTGAAGATCGTGCCACTCGTGTTCATCCCTGCTCTTCTGATCACACCTTCTAACGCGATGTTGAACAGCAGACACGAAAGTCCATCACCTTGCCGTAATTCCCTCCGAGATTCAAAGGGACTCGAGAGTCCTCAAAAAACGCACATCACTCAATCCATCGGCGCCTTGACCAATCGCGTCAGTTTGTCCGGAAATCCGTACTCGTGCATAATCTGCCATAGCTGATCTCGATCGATTGTGTCGTATGCGGATTTTAAACCGATGAACAAATGATGTGTGGGCACGTTGTATTCGCGGCATTTCTGCAGAACCTGCCGAATCGCGAAAAGTTGGTCAGTGATGCCGCGGGCACCCATGAATCCCGCCTGGTATTGCCCCACGAATTCTCTTGCAAATGGTGACAGGCGGTGGCATCGAATTTGGGAGAGTACCTTGTAGGCGGCGCTCAGCAGTGTGATCGCGCGGGAGTTGCAGCAATCCAACTTGTCGCCCTTTTTGTAGATTGGGCTACGACACCTTCCATCCACTCCTCTGGCAATATCTATGACTAGCTCACTTGGTAGTTGATCTCCACCGGTTGCTTTGTTGTTCTTCAGCCGACCGATCTCCTCCTCAACTTCTTGAAGATCAGGGGCCGGTAGCCTGTCGTCTTCTGCGCGTGCTCCAAGGTCTGCTGCCGTGCCACCTTCGTTTTCTGCTGCTTCACCGTTGAGGTGCTCGTCATGGTACTGCTTCCACCTCTCAATCACCTCACACTCGTTTGTGAGAAGGTTACCGCCCAAGTCCTTGCACATATCGGCTTGCGGTACGTAGCCTTTGCGCGAACAATTTAGCTTCTCGTAGAACTTTCGTGTGTCGTATGCGCGGTACAGATTTCCCATCGCCTCGCGATCTCGGTCCTTCAGAAAACCGAGTTTTGTCTGTTCCGCGCTTGTTTGTATCGCTCCACATTCAATCTAGTGCGGTGTTGCAACATTCTCCTCTACTAACAACTTGCATTCGCCGTCAAACCAGTCATTTCTTCCGACCGGAATCGCAGTACCTAGTGCCGCTGCAGCAGTACTAGCTATGGCGGAACGGATGTCCCTCCAGCCATCTTGAAGAGATGCTACGCCAAGCTGCTCTTCCGTGGGTAGTGCAAATTCCAGCTGCTGCGCGTAGTCCTGGGCAACTCCGGCGTTCCGTAGTTGCTCAATGTTGGTTCGCGGAGTTTGACTTCGACGGGTGTTATGCACCGTCGAGAGTATTGAGCGCATCCAGACTGCAACTGATAGTGGTCCGAATCTATGTTCGCACTGCGGTACGTGCGGGCGTTGATAATGTCGGAGAAGAATTTCCCGTCAATTAGAACGTGATCGATTTGGTTTTCTGTGTGCTGCTCAGGTGATCTCCAGGTGGCTTTGTGGATATCCTTGCGGGGGAAAAAGTTACGAGCGTTCATGTCACCGATGACGATTTTGACGTCCCGTTGCGTACAGCCGCCATAGTGTTACAATCAGCGATTTTATTATTCGTGGGCGTTCACTTAGAGTGAGTGGTAGAGCCTAGACGGCAGTAATGCGCAATTGGAGCTGATTGGGAGCAATATTGAACATTTATGGAATATAGCTTTGATCCAAACATTCCTTTTCAAACCAAAGATGAAATAATTACGCTCTTGAATCTCTGACTATTTCTATTGTTGAAGCAAGAGCTGCCTCAGTACCAAAGTGTGAGGTTAAATTCGATTCAACTATAATAGAAGGCGATGTTCAGCTCTTGATCCGTCTGAAAAATGTCCGTAGGAGGCAATATCAAAGAACTCGTGATCCCACCATGAAAGTTATCTGCCGGGATTTGCAAAAACAAATTAAAAAGCGATTATCTGCCCTGAGGAACAAACCTTTTGAAAATATTGTTTCGAAATTAGACACAAAAATTTTAAAAATACTCAAATGCCAATTCCAGCCCTTAGTGGTAAAATTTTGATCACTAATTCCAGAGCCTCCCTTAGCTCAGTCAGTAAAGGTTCAGCTACAAAGCAAAGATTCCCGCGGTCCAGTCTGGGAATGTTTTGGGTTGTAAAACGTCTCGACTTCCCTGGGCATAGAGTTGTGATTGTACTTGCCACACAATTATACGTATGCAAAAATTGTACAGGCATTGGAAAATTAGGAAGAAGAAGAAGAATAAGGAAATTCCGAAAAAGTTCAGAAACTTGCTAAACACTTCGAGAGTTCCCGTAATTTCACTTTGGGACTTACTAGCCCTATTGAGAATCAGGTTGCAATCGCAAAACCCTTTAAACTGTAAACTACAAATGAATACGTAACATTTTCTTCCAATAACGTTTTATTCTAAGCCAAACAGATTCTGAGAAACATCCGATTGAAAACGTACCGATTTTAAATTGGCAGGGCTTTATCAGAGCGATTAGCAGTGACGAAAATCACATGTTGTTCATGTGAAAACGGGTCAACCATAAATCGAATTGATAACAAACGTCTGATAACGAAAATCTAAAGTGCACTGTTGAAAGATAAAAAAGAACACAGTCATACCTCGATATAACGTAGCCGCGAAGTTGCGTAACTTTTGAAAAGTCTGATAGTTAAAAAATATAATTGATTGGAAACTTTTTATTTTTTTTATTTTCATATTGTTTCGATGTGACGTAGCGAAATGAAAAATAAAGCTACGTTACATCGAGCTACTACTGTATTAACTTTGCCGTGACCGTTTTCACCCGTTCAAAGCAGCAAAATGACAGTCAGTCTTTAAATCGCTCTCTTGTAAGGTGAACAATTAGCAGTATCGAGGTAATTCCGTCGAACCCCTTCTCGAAGTTCTAAGCTGAGTCATTTCAAAGTGGAACACAGACTACGCGCTGACCTGAACGTTTGTCCTAAAAGGTTAGTACTTAAGTGCACGGAAAACAGTTAACTAGTGCGTGTAGATTAGATTAAATTCTATGTAATCAAAAATACGATTTCAAATCCGAATTCAGCTATCGCTGTTTTCGTGGTACATGAGAGTCAGCTTTGGTGGACAAAAGAAACCGATTGAACCAGTGCCGTATTAATGGTGGGCTGAAACCAGGGCCCCCAATCATATCCTCTCAATAATATGTTTCAAGAAATTAATCGTTGGCTACTTTTGAATCAATGAATCATACAAGTTGATATCATGAAAAGAAAATAATAACTCTCACATATGCTATCAGATTGCAGAGGAACATTAGGGAAGTTCACAAAGCACCATCTTTTAAAGGTATCTGTTTAATTCTGCTTAGAATGTACTTAATTTATCTTTTAAATTAAGCGTCCTAGGGCGAGGGCTTCTTGGGTAAAGCTGTGTATTTCATAATTTTGAAAAATGCTGCTCAAGACCAATGATTTACAAACTTTTCATTTGCAAAAATTTGTGTCTCTGAAACGCTTTGGCCGATTAGATTGAAATTGTTTCAGCATCTTTCCGGTAAGTGGTTGTTACATGTGTTGGGTGGTACTCCCCATCAGGCCCCTCCCTCTTTGTTATTTTTCAATCTTTATCATATATCTTTCTTATCATTGCGACAACATGCAATATTTTTCTTGGAACTCGAGAAAATAATAGAGAACAATCATAAGACCCCATGTCTACCTTGGAATCGATTCCGAATGTTCCGGATTATCGTTCCATAAGGTCAAATTTATTATCTATCATAACCATATCGTGCGACATATCAATTCACATCTACTCGATGAAATGTGTAAATTGTCTATTTCGTGGTGGAAGAAGTTTCCTCTACCAACCAACAAGGATTTTTGGTAGCCATGATGAATGGCTGTTCATGGCTATGCAATATGGAAATGTAAACAATCGAATTCATAATCTAATCTAAAGCATTTGTAAGTCAGCTTATCCTAAAATTGTTGTCCACTGAGCCCTGTATTATTTACAGGCAATTTTCAAATAAATATCATCCTTTATTTGGAGGACAGTCATATGGATTCTCATATGCAGTCGATGTATTGAGGATTTTATCGATTAGTGAGGGGGGGGGGGGGAGGTCATTGGAACTTGGCAGGAGGTCCAGTTATAGCTGTATTTGTTCGTATACTTTCTCTCTTGCCGGAGCAGATCCCGTAGGTAGGGTAAGAGTGTGTAAAACGCCCCACCGGGGCAATACGCCCCTTTTGCATTTTTACGAATCCAGGGTCAATGTAAATGCAAACCTGATGGGTAATCCAAGTATTTAATAGGAACACTCCAGTATGCTAGTTTGACAGCTATCAAGTGACACAAATCAATAATAGAAACAAAATCCTGAAAAGCATCCTTCGGATGTTGTTATTTCCGTTATTTGGATGAGCATATTTGAAAAGATTTTTCTTGATTACTTTTTCTAACACCACCATCAGAAAGAGTAATGACTCGCGCAACATTTGGAAACGGCACAAAAGCTCTAGCAAACATAAGTTACAAGGCCTTTTACACGCAAACCAGCAACATCACCGGGTAGGGGAAATTCTCCCCTTTCCGATATTGATATTGATTTACGTGGGCGTTCCTCGGTTCGCGTGGAAAGGGGATTACAAATTTAGTTGACAAAAACTTTCATGCCGTTTTCAAATGTTACGCCTGATGTTTTCCCAACAAGATGATGTTTTAACTTTGCGTGGGAATGCTAAGGGTTTCGAAAAATTGACGTTTCAATCTTTGTTTGCAAACGCAGATGCGTCCCTTTGGAAAAATAGTCAAGGTTTATTCCATTTTGAGCAGTATGAGTAGGGTTGTTAGTACCGGACCCTTTTTGCGAGTACCGGTATTTCGGTTCGGTTCAGTACCAATGGATTTTTAAAAAATAAATGGGAAAATTTAGAGCAATAGTTTATTTAAAGGAGGCCGTGTTGGTGTTCTCTCACACTTGTAAGAGTTGAGTTTTACCTCGTATTTCTGAGCTGGGTCAATTTCGGGTCACGGACAATAAAAACGCGTGTACATCTATTGTAAGCTAATTTCAGACTAATTTATTTAATCCCCTCAAAAGAACACCATACCAATACACCCACAGTGGAAAGGGTTACAAACCCGGTAGGAAAGGCAGCCGTTATAGCTGCTATAAAATGTAGCTGCCCTGTGGTCAATTGCCACAGCTCGGACACCCAGATTAACCAGATGTCCTCATCTTCCGCTGATTTAGTAATTTTAGTAATTATTATCAAATTCATTTCACTTGTCTTCAAATTCACCGTTCAGCTCCGAGACATCTCATTATAGTCATCATCTTCGTCGTCTCCTCCAATTTCATCCAATTCACCTATGGAAGACCAACGCTTCATTCGGTCGGCTGAGTAAACTGTACGAAAACGCCTTCCATGTCTGTCGCTTCCGGGAATGTCCTCAATCTGGTACCGATCGTTATCGAGAACTCCAGTTACCACAAAAGGTCCTTTATATCGAGGCTCCAATTTTCTGCTCCCACCAGGTACAAACTGATCCTTCTTCAACAGAACCAGATCATTGACTTCGTATCGCTCAGCTGCCTTCCTTCGTCGATCAAAGTATTTCTTCTGTACAAGTTGCCTTTGACTCGTTGATTTTTCTGCTTTGGCTCGATAATCATCCGCATCGCATACAGCACCGTCAGATCCGTCATGTAAAGCGACAATCAATTCATTATACACATAGTCTCTTGGCTTTAACGATAAGACCAAAGACGTTGGTGTCACTCCAGTTGTCGAGTTTGGTGCAATATTAATCGCCCACTGAATCTGCCTGACCACGTTGTCCCACTTGCGATCATCCACATCGATAGTGCTCCTTAGGGCATTCAAAATGGTTTTGTTGCTTCGCTCGACTTGACCATTTCCTCGAGGTGTGCCTACTGCCACTTTCACATGCTCCACTCCGTTTTCGCGACAGTATTTCCCAAAGGCATTCGATGTGAAAGCTGTTCCACGATCCGTGATTACTCTTCCAGGAAATCCAAAAATCCCTGCGACTTCATCTATCATGCTCAGCACAGGACCAGATTGTGTTGATTTGACAGCCTTTATCACCACAAACTTTGAAAATGCGCAGATCAGTACCAGCAAATGCTCGTTGCCCTTGCTAGAACGCATGAAAGGCCAGATGATACAAGTGGATGGTGTTGAACGGAATCGGCGTCTTCGGGATCGGATGCAGATAACCTTCCTCGCGCCCAACTTTGCTCTTCACGAAAGCACACTTAGGGCATGCTTTTATGTATCCTCGAATATATTTCCTCATCTTAGGAAACCAAAACTGATCCCTAATCATTTGGAACACCTTTTCTTCGCCAAAATGGCCACGATCATCATGGAAATTCTTCACTACTCTCCAGCGAATCCTAACCGGAACCACCCATCGTTTAGCCCCTTCGATCAGACGATAAAGTCTATTGTTCTCTACGACGTAACACTGATTCACCTGACGATCCTCATTACACAGTGGATCCCTACCGAGATTCTCTATAACTTCTACCAACTTCGGGTCCTGTCTTTGGAGAGAAACCAGAAAGTCATTGTTGCTGATTTCGATCGACAGCATATTTTCCACTACGGTTTGTTCATCCCTTGACTCCTTCACTGGATTTCTGCTCAAAGCATCCGCATGCTTCATTTGACATCCACTTCTATGCTCCAACCGAAAATCATATTCTTGCAGCTTCAAGAAGTACCTGGCAACCCGGCCATCCATCTCCCGTTTTGAGTAAGCATCTCGAACAGCTGAGCAATCAGTGCGAATGATAAAGAAACGACCAAGCAAATATAAACGGAATCGCTCCACGCTAACCACAACCGCCAAGATTTCCAAATCGTAACTATGGTACTTCGATTCACTTGGACTCGTTTTTCTACTAAAGTACCCTAATGGCTTCCAACCTCCATGTTGCTTGATGAGCAAAACTCCAGCCAATCCGATGCTCGATGCATCCGTATTGGGCGTGTAGTCAGGATTTCCTTGAGGCTCTCGAATGCTTCCTGTTGCTCACCTCCCCACTTGAACTCAACGTCTTTCTTCAGAAGATTATATAACGGTGATGCTATCAAACTGAAGTTTTTCACGAAACGACGAAAAAATCCTGCGAGTCCCAGAAACTGTCGAACTTCGTGCACAGTTCTTGGCCGAGCAAATTTTTTAACAGCCACCGTTTTCACTACTCCAGGTTTAATTCCTTCGCCGGTAACTTCAAACCCAATGAATGTCACTTTTCGCATGTAGAAATAGCTCTTCTTCAAGTTTATGGTGAACCCTTCTTCGCGCACAACATCTAACAGGGTAATGAATTTAGAGAGCACTTCTTCTTCCACTCTTCCCGCCACTACAAGATCGTCGATGTATGCTACGATCACTACACCTTCGTGCCTTCTCAACCAGTTTATTCACTGCTCTCTGGAATACAGCGCACCCATTAGCCAATCCAAATGGCATTCGAAGGAACCGATAGTGTCCCTCCGTCGTAGAAAAAGCTGTGAAGTTTTGACATTGCTTTTCCAACGGAATCTGATAGTATCCACTATATAAATCCACTACAATAAACACACATGATCCCGCGAGTTTGTTTAGGCACGTTTCAATATCCGGCATAGGAAATCTGTCCTTAACCGTCTTCGCGTTTAGCAAACGGTAGTCGATAGCCATCCGATATTCTTTATTTTTCTTCGGCACTAGCACAACGCGACTGTTGAAGGGAGATTCGGTCTCTTCGATGATCCCGGCCTCCAAAAGTTCATTCACAATATCGGCCAATGCTGCTTCTTTAGCGTACTCCATTCTCTGCGGCTTTACAAACACTGGGTCATTATCGACGAGCTGGATCTTCATTTCCGATGATTATGCCTTCCCCATCTCTCTCATGTTCAACGCGAAACCATCTAGATATTCTTGAATCACTCCCAGATGGTTGACCGATCCGCACCCGAATCAATATGCGCTTCATATTGATTTGCAGCTAACTCGATTGTCTTTCGGAACAAGCTTTTCTTATCGACCATACGCATCAAATTCGTACCTCCCCCCATGGGACCTTTCCCTTCTCGCTTCGGTTCACTTTTGAATCCTACATTAGCTTTACAATCGCGTTTCAAGTGACAACTGTTTCCCGTATCATCGATTGACTTCACCCATGCTTCGGCAGACATGCACGTCGGAGATTTGGGATCAAATTCCGACACATACTCTCGTAGCTCCCGAATATCCGGCAATCGATTTACAATTGCTGCAAATTGCCCCTCTGCACCGCTGGTGCGCTGTAACAGTTCGATCTGCAACCTTAAAGCTTCAATTTGGGCTTTTAACTCGTTCTCCATCTTGATCTTTTGCACTTTCACTTTGGTTTTTCGATCAGTCACTTTATCTCCCAGCTGCTCGTCAGAATCTTCGGAGGGTTTCGAGTCGGAATTGAGCATACCCAAAATTCAGTACTACTATTCGGTTCGTTCTCCGGCGGTAGAACTACCTACGCACGCCCGTGGCAGACAATCGACTCAAAAACTCTCCGACGGTAGAGCTTTCTACCTACGCTTTCGACTAGATAGATTCCCCGGCGATGGAAAATATCTACATACTCCGATGCTACTCAGAACAATCCCCGACAATGGATATGTCCTACACACGACACACGAGCTCCCCGGCAATGAAATTTCTCCCGAAACCGCACCACGTGACCGAACTGCCTTCTAATACGCGCAATATGCTGAACTCGTACTGTCTTTTTTTTTCAATTACCTCAGAAACCCCGATTTTCTTCGAAGAGCTTTTAGTCTTCACCGTACTACACTGTCCATACAAAAGTTGATCGATCGACCACGCAGTACAATATAGCACTATGGACGAAGGTCAATAAAACGGTCAATCTTTTGTCTGGCGATATTCACCGCGTGGCAATTACTAGATCACTCAATCGTACCGGATAGATCACTTTCGTCTGGCAAATTTTATCCAGACTATTTATCGCACACCCTTCTTTTTATCTTCTCTGTGGATCTGAGATTCAGACCCTGTTTTTTTTTTTTTTTTACCTTTATTAGAGAGATTTTCAAGCCTAAGGCATCTCTTATTCAGATCCTGTCTACAGCTTGTAAGAGTTGAGTTTTACCTCGTATTTCTGAGCTGGGTCAATTTCGGGTCACGGACAATAAAAACGCGTGTACGTCTACTGTAAGCTAATTTCAGACTAATTTATTTAATCCCCTCAAAAGAACACCATACCAATACACTCACAGTGGAAAGGGTTACAAACCCGGTAGGAAAGGCAGCCGTTATAGCTGCTATAAAATGTAGCTGCCCTGTGGTCAATTGCCACACACTTATGGTCACTTCTTTAAATTTGTTTCCCATGAAAGTCCCTCCCAGATAATTTAAAAACGTTCATGCGGCTAAAACAAAGAAATCATAAATTTATTCTAAGCTTTTTTCAAATTTATATCGCTGTGAAGCAACTTTAAATTCTAGAGGGAATTTATCTATGTCACTGTAACCAGTTCGCATTTGTTTGCTAACCTGGTTAAAATGTCATATTTAATTATCTTAAAGATAAATCGTGCAGCTGAATCTTTTGTAGGTGTAAGAGGTGGGACCATCATCGTTATCATTGTGCAAATTATTCAATTTCAAAACATGCCAATCAAATTCAACGCATCGTCTTGCATTTGAGAATGAATACTAGTCAAGATATTTCCAGACACTGAAAGGTACAAACAACACTGAAGAGGCAACACTGTTTGTTTACGTGAAGCGTTTTGATGTAGGACTACGTCTGTGATTTCTAAATGAGGGTACACTTTGTGAAAATTGAAAATTGAACAAGTAACGAAATTATGAAAGATTTTGAACGTTAACAACTCAGCTGCCCCTCGAACAATTTCAATAATTTTATCACCAATCGATCGGAAATATTTTCACGCATCGACAGCAATGCTTTCGACTGTTGATTTTTTAACAAGAAACTATTGAAAAAGGGGTAAGTGTCAAGCATGTGATGTGATGTGAATAGAACCCACCATCAGTGCAAGGATTACCTATGACTGCAGATACTTCACTTGTTGTAAAGGTCTGCCTGATGGTTTGTTGCAGCAGGGTGAATCAACTTCATTGAAGACCTTTGGAAGACAAACGACAAGATGTACGTCTATCAACACGTGACAAGGGACTGGCAAATCCACGAACCCTTGTCCAGTCTACAAATCCTTTGAAACCCTTAGGCTGCCCCCCCCCCCCCCAAACCCAGCATATAATAATGTTTGATTAATGAAATGTATTCAAAAAAGAGATATTTAGAGAGAACAATCTTCAACTGGAACGTACTCACCAAATCAATATATCCGGAAGCGCATTCTCGATGCTTAATTTTCTCTAGTCATTTTTAAACAATTCCTCCTTCAGCGAATCCAACCACACAATAACTAAATATCACTTTTCTTCTTCATGTCACTCTGTGCACAAAAGCAATGCACACCGCAAAAACCTAATAATAGATCAGCGCGGTCGAGTCACACCGTCAACAAAGAGAGCGAGAGCACACCAGGCACCAAAGCAACAGGGGAAAAACATCAGTGCAAATCACGGCAGCACAAAGATAGCCCGAGCGCTAAAAAAAAAAAGCACGCAGCGGAGCAAAAACACACAACCGTTCTCGGACGCTTCTCAAAGCGGACTGAAGGGGGTAAGTGTCAAGCATTGTCCAAAAGCGTTGAAATAACTAACAAATTACGTACATGCATATGCTGCTTCCCAGTCATCAGCGAATCGTTAGTAGACGAAACAAGTCGAAGTTGTATTTGCCTCCGATCTTCGGGCATGTGTGAATTTTTGCCCACTCATCGATATATTCAGAACCACACGCCCACATCAACCAAACATATTTTTTTATCTAGTTCGTTTATTTTTAAGGCTCAATCGCGTTAGCTTTACGGAGCCGATAATTCATTGTTCTTTGTTTGTAACAAGATTCACTTAATTCTATGTCTAGTAGGAGTTGGGCCGAATACTCGCGGCTTACTCGAGATTAGAGGGGTACATTGTCGAAGGATAGGAAAAGGGGAAGAGCTTGGGGGAAGGTCAAACAAACAAAATGCTCTCCAGAGTTATAATTTTTAACCAAACTTGGAAGCAGGGGTGCAAGTGATTTTGATCGATTCTCTTCATCGACTTTCCGTTTCGTACGGCAAACACATTCATTGATACATTTGTTGTTCTGGATTATAGAAGAGCATAGCAGAAATAGTGTGTAATAGTTTAGTTAAGGCATGGTCATCTCAAGAGGAAATCGATGAATAGAATGGATTTTCACCCCTCTGGGACTTAGAACCCTTAAGGTTCAATTTACTTTGATGCTTTTTGGAAAATTTCAAAAGCAGTTTTTTTCCGACGCATTATTTTAGATTGCAAAAAGCTCGCGTCATTTTGTGTAAAATATCAAAAGGAATCGAATAGTGCGAGCTTTTTGCAATCTGAAATAATGCGTCGGAAAAACTGCCTTTGAAATTTTCCAAGAAGCATCAAAGTAAATTGAACCTTAATTCAGTCGTCGTCATAGCAATGAAAACTAGCATCGCACCGCTTTTGGTTGTTGGGTTACACTTTTTTTCCTTGTTTTGTTTTCCGTCGATCTTGTTTTCCGTGCTTAGCTGGGGTGAGAGGTAATCACGATTACCACTACACCACCGGCACCGCTGTTGAGTTATAATAGATGAAGTCAAATTTAGGTTTATTTTCCGTTAATCATTGTTAAGCTCAAAACGTAATATTTTTTACAATCGATTGATATAGCACTTTCCGTATTTGTTTAAAAGTTACACATGTGTGAATTATGTTGCATAAAGCTATTAACGAAGAATATTTTGATATATTTCAGAGTTGGTTGGAAATGCTAACATGAAGCTTTAGTGTGATAATTTATTAGCTAGAGAATGATCTTTAGAAGAGAGTAGGTGGATAGTTCCGTTAGAGTACGGCAGTATGAACATTGAATAGAAGTTGAAAATGAGCGAAGGGCCGTTAATGCGACAGTTTTTAAAGTCAAACGCATATCTTTTGCCTAACCCTTACGATGTACGTGGAGACTTGAAGTATGTCTCCAAGTCTACAGGCAAAAAATGTGCGTCCTGATTGCGGCTGTGGAATAGTTCTAGCGACGTTTTCATCACTACCTAAAGCCCCACGTTGCGAGAGCATTTCCAGTCGATGGTGTGTTATAATGCAATTCTTCTTTACCCAACTATTGTGTTGCTCCTCTCTTATCACACTAATGCATTTCCAACCAACTCTGAAAATCGCTAACTTCGCGTATGAAGTAACATAAAAACACTTTGAATGCAACAACTCAAGGCGGGAGTAGCCGTCAACAATGCTGATGATGGTACAGCACGCAACAACCACCCTACTGCTTTCTCTCTGAGAAGATCACGTTGGTCATGACGAGAGGAGCAGCACAAGGACGGACGAAACACTGGTATCAAAAACGGTTGGAACCATCGTCGGAAGCAGTAACAAGAACACGTCGTTGAACATGAAGGATGTTCTCTATGTCCCCGAGCTTCGCGACAACCTGATGTCCGTTAAAAAGTTGGTGAAGGCAGGCGTTGTGGTAATTTTCTGCGGTTCCGTTGCGGTTCTCAAGAAAAACAACGAAGTCATTGCTACTGTGAACTTGAGAGGTAACCTGTACGAGTTCGTGGTAGACATTCCAGTGTCTTCGGCAAATATGTGTCAAACTGAAGCGACCAATTTGTGGCACCGAAGGCTTGGACACCTGAGTCAACAGGGAAAGAAAGCGATCATAAGTAACAATCTTGTGGATGGTGCTGATTTCAGAGCAGACAAGCTGGCGTTCTGTGATGCGTGCGTGCAAGGGAAACAATGTCGTGAACCATTCAACGGCACACGCCCGAGAGCAACAAGGCCGTTGGAAAGAATTCATTCGGACGTATGTGGACCAATCGAACCTACTGCGTGGGATGGTTCGAAATATTTTGTTTTCTTCATTGACGACCATACCCATTTTTGCAATGCTGTTCCTGATGAAGAGGAAATCGGAGGTGTTTGATCGATTCCGCGACTATAAAGCAATGGTAACGGCGAAATTCAACATGAAGATCTCGAAACTAACAATAGATCAAGGCCGTGAGTATCTTTCTACCAACCAAAAGCGTTTTTACTCACAGAAAGGTATTCAAATCGAACCAACCGTTGCTTACACGCCTCAACAAAACGGCGTTGCGGAGAGGTTCAACCGAACCATTGTTGAGAAGGTCCGCACGATGTTAATCGATTCTCAAGTCCCGAAAAAGATGTGGTTAGAAGCTGTCATTACTGCCGTGTACCTGGTGAACAGAAGTCCTACTGTAGTCCTGCCGAGAAGTATGACACCAGCTGAATGCTGGTACGGTCAGAAGTCAAGTCTAGAAAAACTTCGAATTATGATTGCTCGTGACGTGAAGTTTCATGAAACCTGCTTTCCCTACAAAGCTAATCCTGAAAATCAAGTAGATACACCACTCGTTTGTGACAAGTCACTCCGTTCGTTCACTCAGTCCATAGTTTTCTCACCACAAATGGGGATTTGTTTATGTGTATAGAGGAAAAATCATAAATAAAATCTTAACTAGCTAGATAGGGAATAAATACAAACTAAAATAATAAATATAAAAGCTATATAAATAATAAAATCCATGCAAATAATTAACTAGGTATCATGCAAAATTAATCTAGGAGGCAAAAGACGGCTAACGACTAAATTAAAAAAAAAAAACACAACACACTGTGAAGGTTTTGTATGCAGCCTCAACAACACGACACACCCACAATACACCCCTAACCGCTGGTATTTTTGGTAGCAGTACTGCCTGATGGGTGGATGCTACCTACAACAACCACAGAAAAAGGCCTATTCGCCCGTTCCTGAGGATTGCAAATATATTGGCTCGGTCACTTGCTTGAGCACCAGGAAAGCACCCATACGTTAGCTCACGAAGAAAAAGTTGGTGAAGGAATTTATTCTCCATAAAGCGGTAAAAAGGTTCTACGAAACCACCAGAGTCGTCACTGCCATACAAAAAACGGTAAGCTGACATAAGTGGACGAAGCGAACCTGCGATCCGTACAATCAGCGTAATCGACGCACACGGTGGAATCGGGGCAGTCGGCACGATTGTCACGAACGATCATCACCAGATATCGGGGAGGCCAGATCGGCGCAATCGGGGCAATCGGCACGATTGGCGCGAACGGCAAGGAAGGAGGCCAAGGATACAACTAGGCACGGAGACATCGTGCAATCCGTTGCGGAACCAATCAGCGAGCGTTCATCGACGGGCCCGACACTGACACCACACACAAAAAGAAACCGTAAGTAGTTACAGATAGGAAGAGATAGGGCTGTTAGGGACCGTTAGGGCAAAATTTCAATAAATCCCTGTCAGTAATCAAATTAATTGTCTTGTGGTTTTTCCTCTAATTTCGCAAACCTCGGCGGAAAGTAGCCGACCCAGAGTGTGGTTAGAGTCACTTGTGGGCTGAGCGGGCGTAACAAAAGGGTTTGTTACATTTTGGCGACCAACAAAAAAAAATACTTCCTATTTTTTTCGAGGTAAGCGAGGGAGGAGAACGATAGTGATAATCGTTTACGCCGGTGATTCTGGTAATTGATTCCAAATACGACCTTTGGTGGATAGAATTTTGTAAAACAACCTGCTCAAAAGTAGATTGTAATAAATCTTTTAACAAACTTCTAGAATCGGTAAACGTACTTCTAGACACGTGATCCCATTGTGTAAAACAAAAAGAATATCCACGAGCAAAGTCACCACCCTGGTAGACAATCGAATTGAACATTCTATTATTACAAGGTATTGCGAGATAAACAATAGCTTTCAGAGAAAGCGAAGAAATTTCCTAGGTTATCAAATTTGATGAAAATTGCTTACGAGTGAGTATTGGGTGAATATTTATTTCATCGCTAAATTTTTAGGCACATTTTTATAATTTTTGTTCGGTGTTCAATATGAACCACTTCATTTCACAGTATTATGGCATGAACGTTGCTCATTTGTTCGACGATGAGCTGACACACGAATTGGCAATCCGCGGAATAGACGCGCATAGTGAGTCACGATCAGTGCAGGAACGAAAATGTAGAGCTGAACTGAAAAGAGAAGGAGCAGATGATGCATCTGCAAAAGAATATGATAAAGTTTGGAAATCGTTAATCGATGAGTTAGAAAATTGTGACAAAAATGTGCAGGACATTAAACAGCAACTGGAGAGCAGAGTGTACAAAAAATCTCCTGATCAAAAATGTAAATCTCGATTGCTCCATTATCTTTTCCGCATGTTACGAGCAAAAGTTCATACAACAGAGAACTCAGAACGAAACACCATTGCCGAGATTGCAGGACAATGCGTGAGACTTTTAAATACATTTTACTCCATTCCATCACCGTACCCTGAAGTTCGGAGTGCGGAGATCAGTATTGTGAACGATAGTTTGTTTAGACTGCGCTATTCGTTTCCTGAGGATAATGTTGGGACAGGCAATCTTACACCGAATCCAAACCCTGGTGACCAACAAGGAGCCCAGGATGAGGAAGAATATGATGAGATTCCCGATGTACGGGAAGGTTTGTTACCCGTCCAAGAAGAAAATGAGCACGAGGAAGAAGAAGT